TTATTATTATTATTATTATTTTACTTTAGTGTATTGTATTTATTTATTTATTTTTGCTGTAGAAAATTTGTTATGGCATTTTAAAATGCTGTCATAAAATTTTGCCTAAAAACACAATAGGAATTTAGAAACCTTACTTTTCTCTCAAAATGCAGAATAGTATCATATATTCTGTAATTCTGTGCCATAATGTGTGGGAGATAATCTATGTCAAGTCTCATATAGACCACACGTGCCTGAAAATACACCCCAAAACACTGTCAGAAGTATTTCGTGTGGTAAGCCTTGAGTGTAATTAGAGTGACAGCTGTGAGCGACATTATTTTAAGTGCACAGCTGAGAGGCCTGAAATAACGAAAATAATTTTTGTCCTTTGTAGAGGACCTTTTTAATTACCACAGTGGTTATGCAAACATCCTTGGATTTATTAACGTCATGGAAAGAGAAACAGTTAGGTATATTATTTTGCAATTATCTTTATCATTTGATGTATAATTAGTCTTTTTTCATGGAAACAAAAAAGCAAGAATAAATTAGTTGGTTTCTTTCTGTTGGGGAGACACTGCACATTAATTGAATAAAATATTCTTATGAAATATGAGAACTTGCTATGAAACATTATAAGGGTGTTTCTCATTACAATGTGGTTCTAAAGTTTTTCTCAAGATGTTATATATATAAAAAAAACTTTTTGCTGGGTTTCAAGAGGATGATGAACAAACACAAAAGCCACAAATGCCACATTCAAGTACTGAAAATGAAAAGAGACCAAAAAAGATAAGATGAGAATTTAATAAATAGAAGCGGACAGAAAAAAAGAGAAATGAAAAGAATATCTTTGACAGGCATTACAGAGCACAAAACTAGAAACATGAATGTGTGCCAGCAATGTGATACATTCAGAAAGAGAGATGTTTTTTTCACAGAGAGAGAAATAAAAATACAAAATTAAACATTCTATGAGAGTGATCCTTTTTCATCAATGTGGAATATATTTCATTGATCTAGCAGACAGATTCAGATGAATGAATTTTATACAGGATCGTCAGTTCTCAGGCCTCACCTTGAGGGAGTTGAACAGGTTGCCCACAAAGATGAGGTTCCTTATTGTGTCTACGGCAGAACAGGACAGCACAATGGCCTTCTGCATGTAGTGCTGCACCTCTTCCCCACTTAAACTGATGTCCAACTCTAAATTTGACCTGCAGCACATCAATACATACAGACACAGCCTTACACACTGACATTAAACGTACATTTTATTTTCAAGATGACACATTTATCCAAAGCAGAGCCCATAATTGTTTCTTTAACAGTTGCACAGTTGCTTTTTTGGCCCTATGAAAAAAAAAAACGTTCACACTCTCACTAGTTTATTTAATATGGAAGCCCGTTTCCGTCACTGAATAAAAAAATAAAAAAGGTAATTGTGACTTTTTATCTCACAGTTCTGACTTTTACTCTCATATTTGCGTGATATCAACTCGCAATTGCGAGTTAAAAAGTCATAATTGTGAGATATAAACTCTTTTAATTGTGAGATATAAATTCTGAGAAATAAAGTCAGAATTGTGTGATATAAACTTGCAATTCTGAGAACATATCAGTCTTTAAAAAAAGTCAGAATTGTGAGTTTTTATCTTGCGATTGTGACTTCATATGCCCATAATTGTTTCTTTAACAGTTGCACAGTTGCTTTTTTGGCCCTATGAAAAAAAAAAACGTTCACACTCTCACTAGTTTATTTAATATGGAAGCCCGTTTCCGTCACTGAATAAAAAAATAAAAAAGGTAATTGTGACTTTTTATCTCACAGTTCTGACTTTTACTCTCATATTTGCGTGATATCAACTCGCAATTGCGAGTTAAAAAGTCATAATTGTGAGATATAAACTCTTTTAATTGTGAGATATAAATTCTGAGAAATAAAGTCAGAATTGCGTGATATAAACTTGCAATTCTGAGAACATATCAGTCTTTAAAAAAAGTCCGAATTGTGAGTTTTTATCTTGCGATTGTGACTTCATATCTCGCAATTCTGACTTTATAACTCGCAACTGTGAGTTTATATCTCACAATTCTGTGAAAAAAAGTCCAAATTGTGAGATACAAAGTCGCAATAACCTTTTTTTTTTTTTTTTATTCAGTGGCGGAAACGGGCTTCCATCATTTAATCCATCTTCTAATAATGGCCAAAAATAAATTTTCTACACTTTTTGCAAAATCTGACAAAATTACATCTTGGGCAGAAGTGACATGCAATAAACTAGACTTTTGAAGAACTTCATAAGCGGCAAAAATGTTGGCCATGTTGAAAATTATTTAGTTATTGTAAGCATGTAAAATTATTACAAATCAGTCGAACAATGCAGTAAATGTAAATCAGTATACTTTATTATGTAGAGAATAATCTAACAGTTACCATAATTTAGTATAGCCAAAATATTAGTATTAACCTATTTCTAATAAGCACCTTGTAGTCTCTTGATGTTTAAACACAAGGCTTGTGATGTCAAATGAATGTAAAAAACTGTCAACCCTGTTCATTTTCTGAAAGAATAGTTTAAATATAGTTTAATCGTTATGTTAATATATTTATTGTTTTAGCTTATTTGCACAGTACAATTAATTTCACTTATATACAGTCTTTCTTTGATATTATTTAAAATTATTAAGAAATTTGCTTTAAAAATCTTGACAAAATAGATTGTTGTATAGAAGACCCCCACATAATGTTGCTCTGCTCCATGAGTATTTTGGTCTATTTGTACTAAGGTGAGGATATGTTGAGAAAATATCTGGAATCAGATAAAAACCGAAGAAGACTGGAGAAGAGGTCAGAGACTCACTGGAAAGGGTGAACTCCATCTCCCAGCTGGAGCACATGCAGCAGTTTGTTGTAGATTCTGACAGAGATGGTGAAGCACATGATGGCCAGGGAGAGCGTGGACACCACAGAGATGATGCTCAGCTGGAACAGCGACAGCAGCCCCACCACCAGCCCTGTGAGCACCATCCCCGTCCGCTCCATGTCCTTCCAGTAGATCAGGTCCATCACTGCATAGATCGAGAAAAAGAAAAAGGCTTGGGTTTAAAACCACAGATGGTTTCCTAAGAACTGTGGTGGACAACTGTGGGTGGTTTCCAGGGTGTTGCTTTGTGGCTGCTTAAATATTTAAAGTCTCTGACATCATTTTACTCCTTCGTGTTCTCAAAATACTCCAATGTACTCCTACAATGTCACTTAGATTCACAGTGGCATGCTTCTCCTCAACAAGCCACTTGATTTAAGATATTATTCATGTCTATATTACAAACGTGTGGGATTCATGTCAAAGTTTAATACTTTCGGATTGGGGTTTTGAGAGCACCTCTAATAGAATGGATGGGAAGCTTAATGGGATTTGCTCAAGTAGGACATGTTCTTGGACCAACAACCTTGTTGGACCTGAAACAACATTCAGATCAACCAATCAGATCTTAAGGTTAGGCTTAACTCTGGGGTTGTATCTCGAACAACATCCTTATCAACTTGTACCATTAAGGTGAAGGATAATGGAGAGCAATGAGTGGTTGATACAAACCAGAAACATGTCTTAGTTTAACAAATTATGTGGCACTATATTTAATCTTTGTCCACTGTTTCAGGGCATTGGTTCCAGAAGTATTTCCCCCATTCCTTTTTTTAAAAAGTCCCTTTTTGCTAAACAGTTATAAGCCATGAAACAAATACATTTTGATTTGAAGCAAAAACATATTGGAAATCTGACAAAACGGTGTGTAACACTGGAAATGGAAACAATTTAACAATGGAAAGAACTACAATACACTCTAAAAATGCTGGGTTGTTTCAACCCAATGTTGGGTCAAATATGGACTAACTCAACTGTTGGGTTAAATTTTGGTTACATTTTTAAATTAGCTTTTTAACCCAACAGTTGGGTTAGTCCATATTTGACCCAACATTGGGTTGAAACAACCCAGCATTTTTTAGAGTGTACAATGAAACACTGCAAATAACACAATAAAAATAAAAATAGGGAGACTCACTCTATTATGTCATTCACAATGCTTCATGGAAGTGGGCGGCCACTGAAGTGTTGTTCTGGCATTATTTGTTTAATTCAATTCTCTGATTGGTAGAGATTTGTCTGCAGAATTATGGGTAATGTAGTTTTTGACCAGTAACTCCACTGTTATACACGATTAAAATTTTTTTTGAAATTATGCAGGGTAATGACTTTAACGGATGCATATACCATCACTTAATAACCTTGTAGCTTACCGTCGGTCTGCCTTTAAGGGTTTAGAAGTTATAGTTACAAATCCATTCCCATATGGGGAAAATTAATGAAATTTGTACTTTTTGAACCAGACTGTTATAGAAATTATCTATAAGAGATTTTAGACAAACCTTTGAACAGAATCTTAAACCTTAAAGGGTTAGTTCACCCAAAAATGAAAATTAGGCTGCGTTTTACTCACCCCCGAGGCATCCTAGGTGTATATGACTTTCTTCTTTCAGACGAATCCAGTCGGAGTTATATTAAAAATTGTCTTTGATCTTTCAAGCTGTTTAATGCCACTCAGCGGGTGTTGCATTGCTTCAGTCCAAAAGAACTTAAATAAAAATCGCCCATCCATAAAAAAAGTGTCTCACACGGCTCCGGGGGGTGAACAAAGGCCTACTTTCAGACGAATCCAGTCGGAGTTATATTAAAAATTGTCTTTGATCTTTCAAGCTGTTTAATGCCACTCAGCGGGTGTTGCATTGCTTCAGTCCAAAAGAACTTAAATAAAAATCGCCCATCCATAAAAAAAGTGTCTCACACGGCTCCGGGGGGTGAACAAAGGCCTACTGCAGCGAATCGATGTGTTTTTGTAAGAAAAATAACCATATTTAAAACGTAATCAATTTAATCTAGCTTGCGCTCACTGTTGTACACGGAAGCAGCTCCGGGCGGATGAGCGCCGCTCAGAAGTGACGCATGCGGAAGCGCAGCGGAGAGATCAAAACAAAACAACGGTCAC